TGCGCCGGCTGGAGGAGAGTCTGTGCCCGCGCCACCTGCGGCCCCTCGAGCGCTACTGCCGCACGGAGCGCGTGTGCCTGTGCGAGACCTGCGCCGCCCAGGAGCACCGCGGCCATGAGCTCGTGCCGCTGGAGCAGGAGCGCGCGCTCCAGGAGGTGGGGCCCGCGCACTTGGGGCGGACGGGGGCTGGTGACCTGCTGCGCGCAAGCAGCACAAAGGCCATGGGGACCCCCTCCCTTCCGAGGCCGGATGTTAATTTTCTCCTCTAACCTGAGGATCTTTAGAGTCCCCTCCAGTCTTGACCTTTATCCAGACGCGGTGGTGGAGATGGGAAAGCGGGAAGGAGGGACCAGTTAGAGCACGGAAAGGACGCGAAGGGCCGGCAGGGGACTGAAGCCGAGCCAGAGACCGCGAAGAGGGAAGGCCAGTGGGGGCTAGCTTAGGCCCACGGGGTCCTGGGCGGCTGTTTTCTGGCAACCCGGCTGAGTTGCCGGCGGGACTCAGGCCAGTGCCAGCTCAGATGTGCCCTGGGCTGAGGCAGCGGCGCTGGATGGGTGCGGCCGGCGGCAGGACTGGCGGAGGGTGGGCAGGGCACAGATACTCTCTGTCCGGCTGTCCCAGCGTGGTGGGAGCAGAGCGGCCCCACTACCTCCGCCCCCAGTTTCCCTTGGCCTCCTGCCCGGTCTTGGTGCCTCTGGCCTTGGGATTTTCCGTCTCTCCTGCCTGGAGCAGTGACTCATAAAACCCAGGGGATTTGCCTGAAATCCCCATTTTTCAGGCCTGGGTTGGGGACAGTGAGCCCCAGGACGGCTTACTGCCCCCGTGTAGTTACGCATCCCCACTTTCTCACTCTGCCTCCTTCCCACTGGAGGAAGTTCTGAAATGAATGAGAGCAACTCTGCGAGCCAGGATGGCCGGGACTGGCCTCCTGGTCAGGGAACACAGGCAGAACCCCCAGGTCAGCCTGAGACCTCGCCTGGCATTCTGGAACGTAACAGCCTGGTCTGGAGGAACCTCTGGCAGAGCATGGGACATCATGGTCACTTGTAGTCCCCGGTGAACAGACACCACTCTCAGATTACACCTCGCCTGGGGTCCTGGTGCAGGGCTGGGGCCTCCGCCAGACCCTGTGCCCACGGAGGGTGTCGTCCACAGGCCGAGCAGCCCAAAGTCCTGAGCGCTGTGGAGGACCGCATGGACGAGCTGGGTGCAGGCATTGCACAGTCCAGGCGCACGGTGGCCCTCATCAAGGTCAGCCCACCCCACCCCCACCCCCACCCCTGCAGGGTGAAGTGTGCACGCAGCAGCCTGCTCCCGTGAGCCCTGCTCAGAGCCCTGCCCAGAGCCCTGCCCATCACCACTGAGCACGAGCATCACCCTGACTCCGCACAGATCCAGGGCGGGCTCGCCTGGCTCCTCTGAACCCCAGGAGGGCAGGGTGGGAGAGCGGGACCAGGGAAAG